TTCATGTTTTAACCGCTTTATTATCCGTTCACTGCGGGAAGCCAGATTTGTAAGAAGAGAGAGAACGGTAGATAAGGAAAAGTAGGAAGGTCCACTACTCCAGGATAACCAGTTTGCTACCCTACACGGGGATAAGAGAGATCGAAAGAAGGAGATGAAAGTGAAGAAAAAGCGAGATCAAAGGTTTCCATCATTAAATGTGGGCAAGACCTATGCAAAACAGAAACCATAAAAGATGCGGCAATTTTATCTTCGACCAACTGTCTTCACAGACTTTGCAGAGTGCATCAATGTCAAATCTCTGTGGTGATACTGAAGTCCAGGAACCAGATGCACTCTTGCCTAAGCGCTTATTGCTGTATGATTTGTCCCTGACAGTAAACAGCTGTATTACAGTGTCTAGAAATACACTGCCTAGTGTGCTGAGCGCATGCATTCTGTACGAGAGAGGGTGGCCCTGCACGCGATGACTGCACTCAGATTCCACAAGCGGCGCTGCGTGTCGAGAGGGTGCATGAACGCGCGAACTTCATTTCGTCCTGTTGCTGCCAGGGCCTAGCAGCGTTTAAAATCAGTGTGTTACAGCTACCATCTGATTTACTGTGAAGTTCGATGGCGTCATATGTACACTGCAACACCCTGAGATAATAAAAGCTAAGCGGCAATGCAAAGAAAGGACGTGTATTGTGCCGCTGCGTTGAAGAAGTTAGCGGTCGAACAAGGAAAAGGTGTCTTGTTCGCCGCACTAATGAATCCAGCGCGGTTTCCTAAATGAAAAAGTAAGGCCAAGAGGGCAGACAGAAAGCTGAATACGAAGGCTGTCGTGTGAGAAAAGCATTCTGAGAGTGGCTCTATCGCACTGTCTTTTCGGATTAGGGTGAACGGAGTCGGGAACGAAGTCGCCGTTCAGGCGTAATTTCAAGTATAATTATTTATCTCAAAAAATTGAAAATATCCTTTCAAATTTCATTCACACAGTGTTTCTCCCATTTCAATGTCGGACATCTTTACCAACAATGTTTTGGGTGTCATATGCGGCGAGTGTCACATTGTTCATTGGCATGTTATTATTCTTTGTTTTCACTCGAATCCCAACGGAATGCAGACTAAGAGGTAAAGGCTTTTGAATCTTCGGCGATAATTCTTGTTCTAAAGAACAAAACACATTTTAAGAAATAACTCTGGCGGTTATACTGTCAATGGTTTTTAAAATTAATTTCTTTGCGTACTGCAACCACTTTGAGCCCTTATCTATCTGTCTGTGCTTCTATCTATCTATCTATCTATCTATCTATCTATCTATCTATCTATCTATCTATCTATCTATCTATCTATCTATCTATCTATCTATCTATCTATCCGTCTGTCTATCCGTCCGCCTGTCCAGCCGTCTGTCTGTATGTCCGTCCGTCTGTCTGTCCGTGTGTCTATCTGTCTATCTGTCCGTACGTCTGTCTGTCCGTCTATCTGTCCGTCTGTCTGTCTGTCCATCCGTCCGTCCATCCGTCTGTCTATCTGTCCATCCGTCCGTCCGTCTGTCCGTCCGTCCGTCTTTCTGTTCGTCTGTCAGTCTGTCAATCTATCGATCTGTCCGTCTGTCTATATGTCTATCTGTCCGTCTGTCGATCTATCTATCTGTCCGTCTGTCTATCCATTCGTCCGTCTGTCGATCTATCTATCTGTCCGTCTGTCTATCCGTCCGTCTGTCTGTCTATCCGTCTGTCTGTCCGCCCGTCTGTCCGTCCGTCTGTCTGTCTATCTGTCCATCCGTCTGCCCGTCCGTCTGTCCATCCGTCTGTCTGTCCGTCTGTCTATCTGTCCATCCGTCCATCCATCCATCCATCCGTCCGTCCGTCTATCTATCTATCTATCTATCTATCTATCTATCTATCTATCTATCTATCTATCTATCTATCTATCTATCTATCTATCTATCTATCTATCTATCTATCTATCTATCTATCTATCTATCTATCTATCTATCTATCTATCTATCTATCTATCTATCTATCTATCTATCAAGTCGCCTACGTCTGGGTGCCCTCACCATTACTTAGGGTAATACAAAATTAGTGTGGGCGGGTAAGATGGTTTGATGAATATAGCTCGTTGATCCTGACATGAATAATTTCACAATCTCGTCACGTACGCCATCAAACCCTTCTCGCCACATCTTTTTTTAACGTGTGAGCGTTAATCTGGCATTGGCAACGTTGACCCTACGAATGCAAATAATAAACGTTTGTGTCCTAGCCGAGAAATCAAAGCCAAGCAGTCTGTGTGGAAACCAAGTATTCTACTACAGCGCCACGCCAGGTTTTCGAAATAATTTTCAAGCAGAGCCAAACGTTGATGGAACGCTAATGCTGGTTCCAGTGTTGACTATCTAATTTATCGCATATATTTAGCGCCACTTCATAATGTCTCACTTAATAAAAAAATTACAACAGAGTCACCTTGCGTTGATTCCCAAGTTACGTGGAATCTGCCTGTTTTTTTTTGCGGGCAGTAGTGGATGGCGATATGTATGTCTCGAAAGTATCTTCATTAGGTATTGGAAAGCGCCAGTACTGTGAAACAATCAAGTAGTTTTATACAGTAAAGCATTATGTAAAAAAACACTCCAAAAATGCAGGAAAATAATAGTTGGCCTTGCGCGGCTCGGCCTCGTGCAGGCTTCGCAGCGCTTGCGGAGCGCTTGGATTGAACGCAAATGCACCCACTCGCACAGCAGCGTACCATGCGGGCGCTGCCGGCAGTCATTAGCTGCGGGGCATCTCCTAGCACGCGCTCAGCACACTAGGCAGTATATTCCTAGACACTGTAGCTGTATTATTTGCTTACTGCTGTTGGACGGTAATATAGGTAAACTTTGCACTAGTGTACCTTTGAAGTGTGGCAGCTTGGGCTAGTTGGTATGGCATGACGATGGTTATAGCGCGAGAACAGAACGACGACAACGACGTGCTCTTCTTGTCTCTTTGTCGTCGTTCTGTTCTCGTGCTATAACTATCGTCTTGCACTAGTGATTTCGTGGTGGTCGCACCCCTGGGAACAGAAATCAGTGGTTAAGTGAAAGCTTCCTAAACTTCATTTTCTATAATGCTCTAGGCACAACAGCGCTTTTTCCTTCATTATATTAATGGAGGCTATTGTAGGTTCGAGGTGTGGCCTGCAAAATAAAATAGATGATGACACGATTGCACACATTGCTGTCCCCGGAATCAATGAATCCACATGCACGAAAAAAAAAAGTTTTGCCTTAAGGGCAAGTCTATGTCGCCTTAATCATTAAACTTGGTAACTGATTTTGTAATCTGTGGATTATTGTCATCGGTATAACATAACCGAGTTCTCAGTAGTATTATGACTATGAAATACTGCACGAATAGCCTGGCTGCGCTTATCTGTGAAGTAACACTTGCATCTTAAAAGACATCAGCGGTCAGAAGACGACATCGAGGAAGTGGTCTGTCGGTTGTGCGTGCTGTCCTCCAACTTAGTCGATGCTATACGCATCAGTTTCAATATAGATTTTAAATAGACACGCCACGAGTCATTTTCACGTAACAATATCAAAGCACTTTCATCTTCTTGATGAAGACGTTGTATGCCAAGGTGGATCATTGACTACGGTGCTTGGTTGCCGAGCTGAAGTTTGCGGGTTTGATCCCGGCCGTGGTGATATAATTTCAGTGAAGGCGAAATGGTAGAAGCCCATGTATACTGTGCGCTGTCAGTGCACGATAAAAAACACCAGATGATCAACATTTTCAAAACTCTTCTCAACGTGTTTTTCAAAGTAATATATTGTATTTGGGACGTAAAACGCCGCATAATTTTTAATAATACGCAAATCCACTTCTTACTTTACTCAAGATAAGTTTAAAAGACGCAGTTTGCACCGCGTGCAACCTTGCCCACTATGCGACTGTGGTTTAACATCTCCAAGTCTTCACTAACACTGAAAGGGCTAACCCAAAATCAACCAAGCACATCGTTATTGTCGTAACAGTACGGCCCACGCCGATTGTGATCGAGATTGCGGCACCTTATTTTTCTCTACTTTGCGCCACATATTTGCGACACTTTTGGGTCTACCCGCTGTGAGAATCATCCGAATTAGCCAAATGAAAGCCACATGTGACCGCATTAAGAACAGCTGGATGCCATCAAACAGCATATATGTTTCATGGGACCAGACAACGGTTCCACATTATCTGTTTTTCTGAGTAATTGGGTTATAATAACGAGCTTTTACTATATGTGTACAAGCGCAATACTCTCATTTGTCGTGGCCACATTATAATCCGCAACTGTGAGCTTGACCTAATTGTAACGTCATGTGGCCTTCAGAGTGTTAATGAGACAGAAACAAGTAAACCTCAAGTAAGCATCGCCAAGTATATGACGACGTAACTGACTATGTGGCGATAAGCAGATACTACTATGCGATGCCATAACCTACCTAACAAACACAATAGTAGAAGAAAACAGACATTCGGTTTTAGGAAAGTCAAGTTAAGAATTCGTAACACGGGCATCCGTTATCCTTGGAGTACGGCGCGTATGGATGTTGCAGAAACTCTCGAACAGTCATAAGTCATACCGAGAGCACGTGAACACGCCATCTAGAAAGCGGAGCAATCTAAGCTGTTGTCTGAACTAGAAAAAATAATGTCTGCATTAGAAGAGAATGCTCAGACATGTTAAATTAATTTTGAACATTCTTTGAACAGTTCAAATTGTGTAGTTGAACAAACAGCAACGCAGCCAACAAACCACTAAGCTGATACATCTTGAAAGCAACAGTAACACAAAGTGAAGAAATGTGGCGAGCGAAAATAACAAATAAAAAAGTTATTTTATGCATCGTGCACATTGAAAGAGCTCGACGTATTCGTCATGTTTACTAATGTTCTTGAGGTGGAACTAATTGGTGGAGAACTACAAGCACTCTTGCGGGTGGTCAAAGCTAACGCTTCGCCTGTTTCTCGCAGGAGACACGATGATTCATCAAGGGGACCATCCGTCGAATCCGAAGTTCACGTGAAGCTTGGGCTCATGTATGTATTGAATACAAGCATGTTGAAGTAAAGTGCCCTGCAAGCCTGAAATTCAAAAACGGCCAAAAGTGTGCATTGTTTAAGGCGCTGAACTATAGTCGGTATTTCAGTTGTAGTGAATAAAAGGAGTGCATATTTACATGTTTGTTAAGAATAAGCAGCATGCGTGGTTTTCACCCGCACCAGCCACGGCAAATAACAGAATGCCACTTTTGCAGATACTTTGTGCATTCAGAGGAATCAATGCAAGGTACATTTTTTGTTGTCAGCAGCCGAATAAACTATTATTCAAGAGAGACAAAGAATGAGAAATATTGACAGAACGGTAGGGAATTCTGCCTGGGGTACTGTTTGCTCCGGCCTGCTACTATATACTGGGGAAGGGTGACAGGGAAGAGAAGGTGGAATGGTTGGCGATGGTAAGGTAGGGAAATGAGTATATGGTAATGTTACACTTAGTAACTCTAAACACGTGCATCCAGTCTGTAGCTTCTAAGAATGCCATGATGGCTTCTTTAACCACATTTGTGCTGCTGGCGTCAGGACAAGGAACTAACACTTCTTCACTATAGTTAATGGTCGGCTAATATACCATTCAATTGAAAATATCAGTTGCTAACGTTCTCTTGCATTGCTGGACAGGTGCGAGATATATGTTTATGGTTGGGTGTTCCTGGCAATTGACGGTGGTTGCAATCAGGACTTGTGTTCCTGAAGCCGGTAAAGTGGTTGTGACGTCTCGTGTTAGCCACACCGAGATGAATGCGGAGGATAATGCATGAGATGCTTGGTTTGAACTTGTGAGCCATACGGAATCTCTTTTCTTGATACGATTTGTTTAGCCAATTGTGCTGGTGTTCTAGTTTGTTACAGTGCACTAATATGGAGTTGCACAATAAACATCGATGTAAGGCGTTAGTTCCTGTTCTAGAAAACGGAATGCGCACTTGAGGAGCTCTACTTGACGCTTTTGTTAGCTTCCGCGTGCCTCTCTTAATTACTCATTACGCCACAGCAAGCAGGTGTCCCTGGAATGCTACATGATGTTAATTTCTCGTAGCTGCACAAAGTAGCCCTGCAATATTTAGAGATGAAGTGTGATATGCGCCTCGTATTATGAGGCTATCGATGGTTTAAAGAGCACTTTTCTTGCCACACACTTTCGTCCATCTACGAGGGGGCTCTACAGACAACGAAAGCATTGCATCCCGAATACCAACAAGTTCCACGGCAGTCGATGTGATCTTGTGATCTAAATTGAAACGTTGAGCGATCTTTATCTACGGGATAACAAAAGCTGCGGTAGAAGTACATGACTTGGAAGATCCATCAGTACGCATGCGTGCCGCATCATCACATATTCTCCGAATGTGTAGGAGTGTAAGTTTGAAATTAAGAATAAGAATTTCAATGTCTGAAGTAAGGAGGTATGCTTGTAGGGAAATGTTAGAGACAGTTCCTTTTCCTCAAGGTTTCACCTAGCCGAATTCTCCTGGTACAAGGCTGATCCCCTAAAATCAGCTGCAAAATTTGTTTGTAGTTCGCAGATTACGCGCGCAATATACTAAAACTGCAATGCAGGCTCTCTCTATTTAAACATAACTGCGCAATAGCGCGTAAGAGCTCGTTTCGCGAAAATTTTGTCCCGGTGACGTCGGCGTCTATGGTTGTGGGTGAAAAACCAGCGTTGGTAATGAAAGAAAATTCATGGTAGCTTATAAGTTAGCACGTGAGTCGGAGTGCGTTTGCAGTTTACCTTTGCTTGCGGTAATGTTTAGGTCTTCACCGTGATGCACGCTCAATGTTTTTTTTTTACTATGAAAGCTGTCACGAGACACAACAAGAAGGCCGTAGTTGTCCGCCGCCACCGCAGGCGTTCGTAGCCTCTGTCGAACAAAAAAAAAACAAAATAGGAAAATATACCCAGCAGAGCGGAACGAGGTTTGAACCTGGGTACTATTCGTGCCGGTCCAGGACTTTACGACTCAGCTACTCTGGCTTCATTTTTAAGCAACGGTATTCAATAGAATCGGTATTCAAATACTGGACAATATTGTACAGATGGACACTGTTGCAGTTCTGTAGTGACAATAAGCGTGCAAGCACTGCTTAGAAAGAATCTCTAAGGCCAAAGTGCTACAGTGTAGGGAAAGCTCATCATTCGGCGCTGCCCAAGAAAAGTGGCGAGGCTAGGTACCTCACTGAGATGGGGTAGCAGTGCGGTCGAAAGTCGAGTTCATCATAAAGATCCTTAAGGAGGATAGCCATTCGGGTGAAATGTGTGCGTGAAGGGAGGTTGGCTCGGCGTTGCAGTCCTAGTTTTTTGTTCCTATTGCCTTACAAATACCGGTGCTCGAAAGTACAGCGCACAAAAAACTACACAAGCATTGTATCGAGAAGAAACCGTGTTACCATTCGCATTATAACGTAGTGATATACTAAGATAACAACCAGACGTCATAGAATGATTATTGTGCAACTAGGCGTCACGCAGTATGAATTGTAATAGGATTAGGTCTTTGAATGCGTCCAATTTATTACGAAGGGCCCTCTCATAATTGCTCATTGTCATCAGCGAAGAAATGAAATAATACAGTAGTGGGTACTTCCAAGGGTCCTTGTTGTAGTATTAGATACAAAAGAGTGTGTAGAGAGATGACGCTCTTTCGGCTTTTGCCGTGACTCTGGGGTGCATGTGAGTGCAGGCCTGGCCTTCTTTATTTGTCAAATATTGCTTTACGGCAGTCTTTATTAGCAGTCATTGTGTGGTAAATGCAATTAAAAATGTATATATCTTATTTTAGTGTTTGGTCTTTTGCTTACTTGGTCTCTTTTGCTTTTGAGCAACTATGTCTTCTCTTTTCTGCAAGAGAACGTAAGAAAAAAAAAACGGACTTGCCCAGGTGCTGTGAACCTTGGCCTCTCCACAGCAAACAGTATCGAACATAACAAGGTCTGCATTCACAAAACCATTCTAGGAAAAAAAAAGTACCCGAGAGGATACTTCAGCCGATCTCAATGCGGCATATATAATCTAAGTCGGCCAGCCAACGCAAAACAGCTTTACGAAAAAGATATCTTATGAATGCTCCTGCAGACGCCACTATACTGTTAAATCCAGATACTCACACGCATTATATGGCCATCGCTCATCACTGGCTTCCTTGTTTTCTGATTGGTTTCAGCTGGTCGACAGTGTCACACACACTGGAGCATCCCGCCCAGTTGGCGCCGGCACTCTTGGCGGAGTGTTGTGCGGAAGGGTCTACGCTAGAGATTCTTCGTGCGGTTAAAAGGTAAGCATCGCTTCACGCAGATATTTCACAGCTTCGCTGTGTAGGTCGGCATTTGCCCAAATGAATGCGGAAGAAAGAACTCCATTTCAGCCTTTAAGGATTAGCTTAAGAGGATTCGAAGGCGAAAGTGATGTTGCATATGGCATACACACCACATCGAGATGATTGTGTTGCCAACGTGCATTCATGATCTTATCCTTGGTTTTGACTTTCTGCATTCTGCTTCCGTTGTTATATGCTTTAAAGAGAACGTCATTCACATCACGGATACAATGGATGCGCCCATTCTCTTTTCACCACCCCCGATCTCCAACTTGCAAGACTGCATCCTGCGCCCTGGTCATGAACACGTGATAGCTGTCGCATCTACCCAAGTAACTAATGGTACACTGTAAACAAAAGTTAGCCGAAATGGGAGTTTCTCCAGCACATGAGCCCACAAAACTCCCCTGCCCCAATTATTTACTCCCTGGTAGGGAGTGAACTCGGCACATGTCATCGTAAAACGCCCCCTCCTTAATCACAGAGTTTATGAACGACATGACCTTGTTAAACTCCCCAGGGAGTTTCCGGTCACGTGATTACAAACTCCCTATAGGAACTTTAGAAACCCTCTTTGGGCGTGACGTGTGTGTGTGTGTGTGTGTGTGTGTGTGTGTGTGTGTGCGTGTGTGTGTGTGTATGTGTCTATACGGGCATATGTTTGCACGTCGGTGTGAAACACATGTGATTTGTGTGGCTAACCGTGTAAGCATCTGTCAACAGGCAACGAAATTATAAGTGCAGCGAAGAATAGCAACGACCGGTTGGTATTTACTGGGAACATTTCAATATATTTCGCACCTTAAACCACGCTGCACATCGGTCCGATTCCTCAACGAAACGTCCTGAATGCCACGCTTCAAAGGGCCGAGTAACAAAAAACTTCGAAGAATAAATTAATGGTAGCAAAAGTAAGCTGTTACGATCGTCAGCGGCTGCTCCTGGAGTTTCACCATCAGAAACTTCGAAGTGGTCTGAAGTAGGCTTCGCTCGACTACGGCAGGCTGGCTGGCAACCGGTCTGAGAGTTGCGCCGGTGACGCGCTCGCCCCGTCTCTGCCAATAGTGGCTTCTCGGAGTGTCACCGCTATTTCGCCGGCTGTAGTGGTAAGAAGGCCTCGCTATGCCGTCGGTATCAAGCCGGCATCGTATCGAACTCGCACTGTGCGCTGGCCACCGCGGCAAGCGCTACGAGCTAGCACCGACCACCGGCGATGCAAAGAATGTGTTTCACAAAAAATGAAGGCTGCTGGGATGTATAACAGTCTTCTGCGCCTTGCCACTACAGCTGTCAATGACTAACTACAAGGTGAGCGCCGAACGAGACGGAGTACGATCGTCAGCAATTGCACCGTAAAACTTCGAAGTGGTTCGAAGTAGGCTTCGCTCGACCACGGCAGGCTGGCCGGCAACCGGTCTGAGAGTTGCGCCGGCGACGCGCTCGCCCCGTCTTTTCCGATAGTGGCTTCTCGGAGTGTCACCGGTATTTCACCGGCTGCAACATCTAAGCGGTAGGAAGGCCTCGCTATGGCGTCGGTATCAAGCCGGCATCGTATCGAGCTCGCACTGCGCACCGGCCGCCGTGGCGAGCTCTGCGAGCTATACATGCAATGCATGCGAGCAACGGGAACAGCGACTGCGAACCGTCTCATTCGTTTAAGTCTATCGCTCCGTAGCTTAAACTGCGTGGATAGCGGACACCTATTTCTGTGCATGGGAAAAACGAGCCGTAAACTGCACATCAGCAAGCATTTTGTGATCGCCAGCTGTCATTCATCGAATCACCGTGCCGTACTCGTGAGTGAGGCCTAGTCGTCGAACGCGGTAGCGGCGGTCTACCTCGGTTCATCGCTGGAGCTGCTGAATGTGCCTCGTTAATGTGTTCATTCAAGGTCGCGCGCACTTTGTGTATGATTCAGTGCATTTTACGGGTCCACAAACAGCACTGCTGATGCGAATTCAGCCTGTACGACAGAGCGTCAACTGATAAAACTTTTTCGTTATAGTAAAAAAATATTAAATATTAGGCAGGATTAGGATAAAGGCATGTGTGTTGAAGTGCTTACATCAGACCACCGCAAGTTCATACTTACGCCGTGCGTATTTATTGCCTAATTATTAGAAACAAAAAGGCTTTAACCTGGGCTACAGGAGGTCAGAATGTGGTGCCTATATATACTCGGTGACTATATGGTAGGTGTGTACTGCGTGTGGCAAGCTGTGGTGAGTGCGAGTGTTGTGATATTACGTGAACGTTGTGATAATGTTTGTGTACTGTAATCGTTGTTGTGCGTATTAAATGTAATGTAATTAAAGTTACGCTTGCGCATGGTACGGCTGCTGACGTAATTTTTTTTCTCGGTCGATGCAAAAAGTTTACTCCCATACTGACCTGAAAAAGTTCCCCTATGGATGTAAATAAAAACCCCCCTGACACCATGCGAAAACCCCCTTCTGATGGGGAGTAAATTTTTTACTCCCAGAGACGGGTTTTTTAAAACTCCCATCTGGGTGTGCGCTAGAGGACAAGGTCATTTACTCCCATTTCGGCTTATTTCTGTTTACAGTGTAATGCACTAGTGGCTCCTTTTCGCTGCACCTCCTGTGGGATTCTCGTCACCTCTTGCCTCCTCTGGTTTTCCTGTCACTGCGCTCTTCTGCCCATTTTTAACACAACTGCTGAATATATGCTGCTGTCGAAGGGAATTACAGTGGAAAAGATCGGCACCTCTACACTGACCTCCATCGCGGCACTCTGCCCGTCTTCGTCAGCAGTACCAGCTCCAGGTTCACGCTCTTTCTCTTTTCGAGCTGTCATTGGTTCATACCTCCTACCTGGTCGGTATGAAGCACAAAACCTGCTTTGATAGCTGTGCCATATCCCTGAGTCAGACTTCCGCGGCTGTACACCGCACTGAAACCGGCGGTTCTCGGGTGATAAGCCGTCAGCCATATCAGGTGTCGCAGGCAGAGAGAGAAATCTTTGAAAAAGAAGTGAAAGAGGTGCCATCGCGAAATATAATACGACCTTCTTCGAGTTGCTGGGCATCTCCAGTCGTTTTATTTAAAAAGAAGGATGGCTGTGTTCGTTTCCACAATGACTACCACGCGTTAAATAAAATCACACGCAAAGACGTATATCCTATGCCTCGACTTGATGATGCCTTAGGCACACTACAAAAACGAACTATTTTTGAAGCTTTCACTTACGATCAGGCTACTGGCAAATCGCCATGAACGAGGCTGGCAAAGAAAAGAACTGCATTTGCTACGCCGAACCACCTTTAATGAATTTAATGTAATGCCATTCGGCTTGTGCAACGCTCCAGCCACGTTTGGGCGCATGATTGATACTGTTCTTCGTGGCCTGACATGGAAGACCTGCCTCTGTTACTGAGATGATATTGTTGTTTTTTCGTCTACGTTTGCCCAACATCTTCAACGATTAGACGAGGTACTACAATGTCTCTCCAAGGCAAGCCTTTAAATAAATACAAAAAGTGCACATATGCCAGCAAAAGCATCGGCGTCCTCGATCACGTCATTTTCAAAGACATAATCCACCAGATCCCGAGAATATCGCTGCTGGGCTACAGTTCCCTCGACCATCCAACCAAAAGACGTTGCGCTGCTTTCTTGGTCTGACGTCCTATTGTCGTCACTTGACACGCAACTTTGTAACCCTAGTGGCTCCACTAAATAAGTTATTTGCCACTGGTGCTCCTTTCTCATGGTGCAACGACTGCGAGTCCGCATTCAAAATTTTGAAAGAACGCGTACTTTTCGGACCAGTGCTGCGCCATTTCGACGAGCACCCACCATACTCCACACTGACGCAAGTGCACAAGACATCGGAGCAGTCTGCAGGGTGATCCCACCTCTAAAGAGCAGGTTGTGGCCTACGCTAGCCGGACTCAGCCAACAGCTGAGCGGAACTACACCATCATGGAGCAGGAGTGCCTGGCTATCGTCTGGTCGATAGAGATATTCCGCCCGTACTTATACGGTCAGCACTTCACCATCGTCACCGACCACCATGCACTCTGTTGGTTTTCATGAATGAAGAATATGTCAGGACGTTTTGCGCGCTGGATACTGTGCTTACAAGAGTTCGACTTTACCATCACGTACAAGTCTGGAAAATGTCATCACTATGCCGACGCGCTGTCCCGGTGCCAACTTTCGCTCTCTCTTGACTATACGTCCACCTTCGAATGACTCTGACACCCAGTTTGCCTCACAACACGTATCGTTTGCCTCGCTGGACCTAATGCAGCCATATTCGAGCTCTGTTTTACGTTCACTTCAGCTGGCAGATTCCTACTGTCTGGCTTTCATTGATCACTTTCGCAGTATAACTATACCACCCAACAGCGGCTTGCGACGCCAGCTTTGACAATTTTGCCTTGAGCACGGTGTGCTCAAGCGATACATTTGCCATCTCATCGGTAACAAGTGGGTGCCGGCTCTTCCCCACTGCCTTCGTCTTTGAGTTTTGTAAGCATTCCACGATGACATTGCTGCCGGTCATCTAGACTTCCACAAGACATACGATCGCATCAAGACGCGCTGATTTTGGCCTGGCTTGTCCACAACGATGGCCAAATACGTGGGCTCATGTGCGTCGTGTCAGCACCGCAAGCGATCCACATCCCTGCCCGCTGGTTTCCTTCAGCCTCTTCCCTGTCTGAACACACCATTTAAATGTGCCGGAATAGACTTGTATGATGCTTTAAATTGCCGCTGACGTCTTCCGGTCAATGTTGGATTGTCACTGCAGTCGTCCGTCTAACAAGATGCGCCGAGACTTCACCTCTTCATTTTGCTACCACCACAGAAATCGTCAAATTTTCCTATAACTCCATCGTCTTGCGTCACAGAGCCTCCTCGCGTTCTCTTGAAGGACCGTGGCTAAGCTTTCATTTCCAAGGTCCTCGAAGAAGTCCGTCGGGTGTGTAT